AATGAAGGGTAACTCTTGACAGCTATTACCTGAATCCAGAGCATGAGCGATCTCCCTCAGCCCTCATTATTGCGACACGGTCTTTCTTTCATTTAAGTTAGTTGACCAAGGGCACCTCTTTACAGCATAGTACCTTAATACAGAGGATAGGCAATCTTCCCTAGCCCAAGTGATAATGAAGGGTAACTCTTGACAGCTATTACCTGAATCCAGAGCATGAGCGATCTCCCTCAGCCCTCATTATTGCGACATGGTTTTTCCTTTTTGAATGTAGTGATACTTTATTATATTGGATGCATTATTAGTATTCTACATTCTTCTAATAGGATGTTCGCCCGTACTGGGAAGAAGTTATAGAAGAACGTAAGAAGGTGGGCAAATAAGTCTTTATTTATATAATTATGCATTAATCTATAGCTAAAATTAAAAACATCAATATAGAACAATGTAAAAAGAACTTTTCGCACGAAGACACTTGATATATATGAAGTCGTAGGAGAGAATGTTGGTGAGGAAATCGTAAACGAATGCAAATCATCAAAAAGGCTTAAATGCGACAAGAAAGGACAACGGCAAACAAGAAGTGGAAGAAGGATAGCTGATAATTATCGTGAAAGAACTTCTTCCTTGTCTGAAGAAGAAAATGTAGGTTTGTTTACTTGTAATATTATCTGAAGCAATATGTCGTGTGATTGATCTTTTATTTTATAGAATCCGGACGATGAAATCGATATTTTCTTTCAAGAAAGTTCTTTTGGACTACAATCGAATTTTATAAAGAAATTGGAGGCAGAAGATTCTGGGTCAGAATATATATCGGAGTATCGTCAACAGTCTTTTATTTTATTTTTTTCCTTATGCTCACAACTTCATTTCCTTTCCAGTAATATTGACAATGATATTTTTTGACAATAATATTAACAGTGATGGCGACAGTGATAGTATCAGTGATAGTGACAGTAATAACAATGATATTGATAGTGATATAAACAGTGTGGCGCATAAACAGTCATTGCTTCTCCCGTCACGATTAAAGTGCTTTGCTGAAGCATATGAGAAAATGGCTCACACTCGAAAATGGCTTCTCTCTTCCAACAAATGCGTTGAAGATGTGATCTTTAATAAGGGAATAAAACTATCGATTGAGTCACTGATACATTCTTGGGTAATAGATTTAAGTGACCCAGAGGTTGAAAAGTTGTTCACTGGTGAGGAGTGGCGTGAAATTAAAAACGAAGTTTGTGAACTTCCAAAGGTGGATGAAAATTTTGCAAGATCTCTTTCAAGATTTAGGAATGTGAGTTTTTAGCTTTTTCATCTTCCCTTTATATATATTATACCGAACAAAGTTTTGCAATTTCAGGTTCGAACAACCGCTGACCTGAAAATGAACCTTTTAATCGAGATAATCACTTTGATTCCGAATGGGCAGACTTGGTGATGAGACACTTGTAAGTGTTTTTCTTAGGGTTGTTAATAAAGCAATCTATTGACTTCGTTTTAATAGTAATACTCCAGAGTATTACTATTAAAATGTAGTCAACGAAATGCTCCATTAACAACCCTAGTTTTTCAGTCTAATCCATAATATTTTAGGATTTTTATGAATGATTAGATCTTTTTTTTTCTGATAAAAATAGCTTAATTCAATATGAAAATCCCGATGAAGAACTTCAAAAAGAACATTTGGAGGGCTGGTTTGACGCTGATGTGTGGTCTATAATTATAGATTGTGCTTTCAATAGCATTCAGGGACTACAAACCGTTAGGTACATAATTTCATAATTACAATTATGTTAAAAATTTTGGATTCTTACAGTATTTACAGAAAAGAATCAGCGAGCGTAGCTGTTGCTACAAGAAAAAATAGAAATAGGAAGAGAACAAGGAAACAAAGAGCAAAAATGGGACGCCGTGGTGATGGAATTTTCCGAATGTATAGCGATAATACAGAGTATGGTGCCATTGAGGTGGCAAAAAAATTTATTTATCAGAATGACACAAAACGACTTGGAGATGGATTGAAACTTGGAAAGACAATTCATGACATGTTGGTTTGTCTGGCTCGAAAAGTAAAGTTTGATGATAAAAAACTCAGAAAATTGCAAGTTGTAGGTCTTTTACATTCAGGTAATTAACAAAAGTTTATTTCATATAAAAATGTTTTTATAAAGCTAATTGGTTTGAATTTTTAGGGCTAATGCTACAAACCGTTCGAATGTCCAATCCAAAAGGATTTATATCGCTTCTTAAAAGAGAGGAACTTTATGAGGTGCCGACATCAGTTAGCCGACTTAGAGACTTAATCATGCTGTTATGTGACGTGTGGAAAGCAAAGGTATAAGTATTTTTATTTGCTTTGCTTTATAGATATATTAATAATACATCTCTTTTCGTTAGAAAATGGTGACCGACTGTATGAATATTGTAAAAGAACCATCACCAGACTTAACAGAAGAGGAATTTCTACGAAATATAATTGGGGTTGATATGACGATTTTGCAAAAACAAAATCTAGCTGATAGTAGTGTAAAAACACCACCACCTAGTTTTTTACCATGGTCATTTGACACTTGAATAAATAATTTTCTAGTAGTAATAGACATTTTCGACGCGCGTTGTACTGTATACTTATTCGAATATGCTCACGTTAATCGTGCATATACTGTATAATATTTGAAATGATTGAATATTGTGTTGCAAAAATTCAGATCGGGTAACCGTGCATGAATTCCTACATTATATCTTTTCAATATAGAGTTGGGATCCGCGAATATTCACGAATAAATGAATATTCAATTATGGGTTAATCCATTAGCTAGCCAAATAATTAGTTGTGATTCTGAACTCGGACGCAAATTGTCTTTTTGGAATGCTAAAGCGCTTAGTAGTGAATATTCTGTTACACAAAATCTATGAATAGTCAAGAATTATATTATGAATATTTGTATAAATATTCTTGGTAAATATCCGTGTAAAATATCTGTGAATATTCTGCATAAATATTTTATCCGTGTAAATATCTGAATATTCAGTGCGAATAGTTGATAAATATGAGAAATGTAATCACGTGAGATTATCTGAATATCCGCGAATTCTCTATAAATACCTGCAGATTCTCTGAATATCACAAATTATTTTCTATGAAAATCTGGAATTCTGAATATCAGTGAATTCTCTTTGAATATCCGTGTAAAATTTGTATATTAATTCATTATTATTCGCGAATTACTAAAATCTAACTCTATTTCAATATAACATGATTCGTTATTGCAGTATTGAAAACCTTCATCACTGCAAATTTTTGGAATTGGGCTCAAATTAAGAACCCCGATTTACTATTGTAACTATCGACCGGGGTAAAATCGCCACCCAAAAAAGTTTCAGAAATTATGTGATATTGTCTATTCATTATAATTAGGATCATAGTTCAAAATGAAAAACGATCTTTGCAATTTCGACAAACCAAGTGATTCTTTTAAAAGCATAAAATTCAATAAACACAATCTAAAAATATACATTGATTGCCGTAACCAAATTTCCACTAATAATAAACGAAAAAAAAAGAAATAAAATTGTAAAAATTAAACAAGAAAATGCAATTGCAGAAAACCTTGTAGATTTTATTTTAATGATCTTCCGGAAGACTATAACTGATTATTTATTTAGCAAAAAGTTTTTATAATTCTGAATCTAGAATGCAACAACAAAAAATTTTTGAAAAAAACATAATGAATCCAAATAGTAACGAATGGTTCGATAGTATTAATAAAAACTTGAGTCATTGCATAAATTGGAATATTCCAAATATATACTTAGAAAACTGTAATTATAATACTTTCTGGTTGTAATAAAGAAGCTAATAAGAGAATAGTCTTAAAATATTGTTTAATAATATCATAACTTAGATTAAAATATATTATAATATATTGTCTAATATCTATATTATTTTTAGATTTAAACTATAAATAATCTGTTTTGAAAAAATAAATAATACTAATTGTTTTAAAATTTTATATATTAATTTTTAAAGAAAATAAGCTAAAATATCTACTTTTGATAAAAAAGATTTTAACAAAAAGTAAAAGATTAATAAAGTATATAAGATTCTTTTGTAGATTTTATAGTTATATAGTTCAGTTTCTAAACTTTTATAGTACTTGACAAAAAACTTACTACTTACTTGTTTTTAAAATAAATTTTTTAATTTAAATATTAAATATTTTAAAAAGTTTATTTAAACAAAAAGTTTGATTTCAAGAAAACTATTTAAAGTATATTTGCTTTTGATATTTTATATCTTCTAAAGTTTTGTTAACAATAATCTATTTTTAGTAGAACTAAAAAAATATTTATTTAATATTTTTCTATAATATTTTTTTGTAATTTAATTTTCTGATATTATATTAATCAAAGAATTGTCAGAAAAAATTTTGATGTTTAATTAATATATTAATTAATTTATAAAATTTAATATTGTTTTTTTTTTTTTTTAACATATTGGCAGCCTCACCAGTATCTTTATTAGATTAAAGCTAATGTAAAACATTATTCACTATCTAAATTACAGATCTGATATCACTCAGCTTCCTCTATAGGTGCCCAAGTGTGGTCTGCCTTACCGGTTAAGGCTTTGCCTGTACCGGAGGGCTGCACCAAGCTAGTTGGCAAAATCATAATAAAATGATTTCAAATCGAAAGAATTTTTAACTACATTAAATTGGCAATTTTCCTTTTCTAAACTATCCTCCTTTTTCAAGCAATATTCTAAAACTAATCTATTAATAAACAAATCTATCTTTTTTCTTAATAAAGGATTATTGCCAGAATTCTTTTATTTAAATTTGTGTTTCCTTTTCCTTTTCTTCTAATTTAGTTTGTCTTTTCCGATGAGTGGCCCAGCTCTCAGAAGTTTTCTTATATCTTTTCTAATAGTCTTTTTCTTTTGTTTCGCAGTGTCGTGATGTTCTTTTACTTCTTGAGAGCTTTTTTTAATAGGTTTTTCCAAGTATATTCTTCTGTAAACTTTCTTTTCTTCAAAGTATCTTGGGCTTTCTATTGGTCTTTTCACTTCTAAGTCTTGGGTGGTCTGCTCATAATCTTCTTCTTTCATAGTTTAGATTTGTGGGTCTTCTTTTTTCTTCTTCTTTACCTTTTTTTTCCTTTCTAGGTTTTAATTTTCTATCTAAAAGTTTCTTTTGAATTTCATTTCAAATCTTCTGATCTTCAAAGATTTCTACAAAGATCTTCTCTAATATTCTTTATAATATATACTTTTTCTTCTTTTTCAATTCTTGGCTCCTTTTTGCCTATATGTCGAAACATCTTGAATCTATTTCGCATCAATATTTCTTTGGGCTTTCAAACACTATATCCATTTTATAAACAGGTTTTTCTCTTTCATCTTCCATATTTCACTATCAGTCTGTGAGTCTTTGCTTATTTGATATATTAATCATTCTGTTGGGTTTGTTAATTCGGCCTTAGGTCTTGGGTTTTCCTAGAACTTGTCTAGGTCTTCTTCTTTAACCAAAACTTTGGTCTCTTGTTTCTTAGCTTTCTTTTTTTTTCTTTCTTTAGCTAATCTTTTTTCCTCTCTTGTCTTGCTAACTCTAGTTTGGCCAAAACTTTAAACTATACAGTCAGAGTCCTTAATACCATTTTGTTATTTTGCTTTTGTCAGATTTTTCTTTGTTTCTGAAGTCTCTTGCTCTAACCTGCTTCTAGTTTTGATTTTATTTCAGCTACTTGTCTTTTCTTTTGCAGGATTTGTATTTTCTTTCTTTTTGCTTTTTTGATTTTCCTCTTAGTCTTGTAATGTGCTGCTGCAGAGAACTTAATGGCTTTTTTGAATTGTTGTACTATAGATTTTAGGGCTATTTTGTTATGCTGTCTTTGTAGGCTTTTTCTTTGTTCTTGAAGTTTCTTGCTCCAACCTAATTCTATTTTTGCCTTTACTTCAGCAACTTGCTTTTTCCTATCTATTAGTATTCTTCTTATTCTATCATCGATTTTTATTTCCTTCAAAATATCAAATATTTTTACTGTTATGATACAATTAACAGAGTCATCACCATTTTGAATTGCTTCATAAAAAGTATTGTGATCTCTTTTTATGAGTTCTGATATTGTATATTCTAGTTCTTCTCTGTTATACCACCATAGTTCTTCGTGAAGATCTTTTATTCATTTGTTAGCTATCTCTTTTGGAAAAAGCTATTGTCCTGTATATTCTACTATTATTTTCTCTACTTGTTTATTTATTTCTTCTTCAGATATTTCTGCTATTAAAGCCTAGATATTTTTTAGTACCCTTTTATGTTTTCAGGTATCTTGATTTTTTTCTTAGGTGTTCTGTTAGTATTTGCTTCACATGACTTTCTGTTTTTTCATTATTGTTGAAAGATATTATTGTTAGCTGCATATATTTAACGGCATTGTTTACTTTTATCACATAGTTTTTGTTGTTTTTCCTTTGTTTATTCTTTATTACGTGTTGTATTTTTGTGTCATCAAAACAGATCTACAATTCAGGGTCAAGACCGATTTCCCAAAAATTTGTAAAGTGCAAAAAAATATTGACGATTTTTCATGACTTCTTCTATTTCTTTGCTAGTACTACTTCTTCTATTCAAGTCTTCTAAGAAATTAAGTGTTTTTTGTTGTCCTCTTTCTTTTTTCTTAGAGCTTCGAGTTTGGTTTTTAGTAGCCTTGAGGTGTTTTTTGTAGTTTTCATTGTTTTGTTGTTTTCGTAAATTTGTGTTTTGATGAATATTGTTTTTTTATTCTATTATTATTATTTTTTATATTTAACAATTTTGCTTTTATTATTTTTATTAGAAATACTAGAAAATTATTATTATTATTATTATTATTATTTTCAGCATGTTTTGTCACTGTTTTATTAAGATATTAATCAAGCAAGAATTACAAGAATTCTTAACTATAGTTATTCTCTTTAACTGCAACAAGTGACTTACTTAACTTAAAAGCCCAGATATGATATCGTCTAGTGGCTATTTATCTTCCTTCAGACTTCTAACTTTCTAGAGTCATGAATCTTTTGATCATTAGCCAGTGCCACATGCTGTATCAGTATCATCTTTTCTTTTATGACAATAAAGAGACCAATACAAGAATCAAAAAGCAAAAGAAAAAAAGGTAATACCTTGATATCCAAATTCGATCTACCTAATCAACAAAAAAACCAAAAACAAATAGAAAGAAAAAAAAAACAAATTAAAAGAAAAGAAAACAAAAATAGCACTATTAAACCTGTACTAAATTGTAAAAATTATATAGTATTACTAAATAATTTAGTCTAAACTCTACATTAGTTATTTATATCTATATTGGAATATATAAAATACCTATTTTTGAGTAGAAATTCAAGTTTAAAATTTTTTGTGATCCCACCAGGCCTTTAGTATGATATTCTACAATATATTCTTGCACTTATACAGTCAGATTTCCCTAAATGCAATCTCCATAAATACAATACCTCCCTAAATACACATTTTTGTCTTGGCTGTATGAAATCATTAGTGCTAAATGCATGTTCTATATTCTGCAAATGCACATTTACTCAAAAGATTTTTTATATCATACTAATCTCTCTAAATGCATGTAGCCAATCAGAAGTTAGTATTTAAGTTTGTTATACAAGTCTGCAGATCAAATATTAAAAGCTGCAATTTGATTGGCTCACTCTAAATACAAACCTTCTTAAATATACATTTTAGCCTAGTCTGTATATGTTGTATTTATGGAGGTTTGACTGTACTTGTTTTCTGAACAAAGTTAGCAACCTAGAAATCTTAGTATAAATACTATAACTTCTTGAGGAAACTGATTAAACATTTTTCATCCCAAAGTAGACATGTGCTTTTGTATATGACTTTCCTTTTTTGATAGCAATTGTTGTTATCGATCCTTTGATAGAAGTATATCAGATTTTTTACTTTTTGTTAAAATTTTATAAAGAGCAGAGAGTAGGTTTTAATAGAGGGTTTCAGTTTGCAGGTAGTCTTAAATTTTGATAGAGAGTATGTTGAAAACTTGTTTGTTGTTTCTCTTTAAACCAACTAACTTTAACTTCGTTAACAAAAGCTGTGTTTCTATTAAAATTTTTGTATAAAAGTACCAATTTCTGCTAGTTATCTTGTACAAGAATGCTTTTAACTTGTTTGCTAAATATACAGAGGAGTCCGAAGTAAAAATAGCAAAGTCTTGATCTCTATAAAAACTATTATTTATAGTTGTCTCTTTTACTTTTTCTAACAAGTTTTTTTATTTTTATTAGTTATAAGTTTGATACGAGTGATCATTAGGGAGAGTTTGTTTGAGTGAATATTAGAAAATTATTAATAGATAAAATATAACTTTTTATATTATAATTTTATATTAATAAAGATTTATTTAGTATTAAAGCCTAGATATAACCTGTTTAAACAGCAATTAACTTTATATTAAATTTTTAATTTATTGAGGATTTGGATCTTTTAATTATAAGATATAATAACTATATTGCTTATTAAGAAGTTAAATAAGAGAAAGTATAAAAAAATAAAAACAATTAAGATATAAAAAATCATGATAAAATATATAAGCAAAAAAAAGAAAATATGAAGTATTAAAAACAAAAAACAAAAAGAATTATCTATTTTAACTATATATACTACTAAACTTAGTTTTTAAAAAAAGCTTATTTTATCTCTATTAGAGCAAATAAAACTTTTTTATATAAAAAACAAATTTAATTTATATATTTATATTTTTATAATTTTGTTTATTCAAAAAAAATATTAATAAATTTTGTTTTTTAAGAAAATAAAGCAAAAATAATTATATTTTCAAAATTTAATTTTAGTTTTTAGACCCTAAAATAATTTTATTAATATATATAATCTTAATATTATAATTAAAAGCTTATAAAGACTTATAAAAATTATATACTATTAAATAAACTAGTTTTTATTTTAAATTTATCTAAATAGTATATAAAAGTAAAAAATTATTTAAAAAAATTTTATTAATTAAAATAATATAAAGAGATCAGAATTTGATATTAATTTTGAAGTATTGTTTGATTAGATATTATATTTAAAATATTTTATTTATTTTTATATGTTTGTTATTCTATTATACTAATTTAAAAATAAATAATACTAAATATTTTAGTATATGTGATATTGATCTTTTGAAGATAATAAATTGAAATGTCTACTTTTTACAAAAATTTTTTTGAAAAAAATAGTAGGCCAATAAGAGTATATAAGATTCTTTTTGTAAGTTTATAGTTATATAGTCTAATTCCTTAGTTGCTACTTAATATTTTTAATCAAGAATCTACAATAATATTAATAATATTGTTTTCAAAATATCTTTTTGGTTTGAATATCAAAAGTATAAAAAAATTTACTAAAAACTTAACCTAAAAGCATAGCTTGCTTGTTGTTATATGTTTGTTTCTCAGTATTTTATATATTAAAACTTTATTGACAGCAAATTTGCTTGTATAGAATAAGAATATTTTTGTATCAATTTTGTTCTTTCTTTATCATTTTGCTGTAATTCAATTTTTTGTTATTGACCAAGGAATTATACCCACTTATTTTATAGAATATTTATATTTTTTGTTTTATGTTTATTATTTAAATAATTAATATATTGATTTTATTATAAACTTTACAGATTGCTTTTATATTTTTAAAAGATATTTAATTTAATAGAAATTATTTTATATATATAATAGTATAATTTTGTTAAATATATAAAATATTAATAAAGAATATATAATTTATTATTAAATAAAGTTTTGATACTTGTAAATTGTTATTATAAGCTGGGTAAATAAAAATAGGTTTATTCTTCTAAAACATGACTTATTTTACTTTGAAGTTAAACTATAGAAGAAATAATAATATGTAAATTATGGCTGCGTAGTTTAATGATTATCTATCTGTTTATATCATGTGCTAACAATATGGATTCGGGTTGGTTAACTGCCACATGAAAAATAAGAAAGTTTTCTATGCTAATCTTAGTATTTAATTAACAGGCTCCGCATGAAGCATATAGGGTACCGAATAATTTTCTCTATTTTACCCCTCTTAAAGTATCATATTAAGTTTCAAGTTTTTTGGTTGTTTATAAGCAGATAAATACATAAGAAAGAATCTATTAATATCTTATTTAAGGATTTATGAAGATAACAATCTTTCATCAATCTATTATGGTGTAAATTATCTAGAGTATCGAGGATTTAACTTGCAGATTTTTTTTAAAATACGAAATTTTCAAAGATTAATAATTGGCAAGATACTATTTTATTAGGTGACCCAGATGCGACTAGATAACACAATAAGTCTTATATACTACATATACAGTATATCATTATTACTAATTAAAAATTTTATTCGGTGATTTCTATGGAAGTTGTACGTGTACGTATACGTAATACGTATATATCTGATATATATCGATATGCAGTACATAACGATAACTACGTATGTATCAATTAATGAATTACTGAATTAAGAAGCTTGTTTTTAAACCAAAATAGGAGGTACGTACCACCCATTACGTAGTCGATAAGTTCATTACGTAGTCGATAAATAGTGAGATCATGTGATGCACTATAGTGATAGAAATTAAATTTTGAGGTCAGATAAAATACATGCATTGAACAACTAGTCACGATATTGCTTATGATGACAGGTATCTAATATGAATTATTAAGAAATGACGAATTTTGATGACAGATTATAACAGGTCAAATTTGGTATATTACAGATAAAATTTTAAAAGCCGAAAGAATAAAATCGCTATTACGATAATTTAAAGTTTATGGATAGTATCATTTAAAGAATAATCAAGTGTTAAGAATGATTAGAAATGATCAAGTGTGATTATGAGTGATAAGTCGTTGTTTTAAATGACATAGAAGTGGATCGAAATGATATCATGCTATATAAATTCTGAATTTTAATGACCAAATAACCAATAATGTGTTTCGTATTTGACTGTCTTACACTTATCATTATTTTCTAACTGGATTACAGAATATAAAATCCAGTCCTTTTTTTTTTTACACTTAGAATTCCCAATTACCTCAGTTTATGAATTATTCTGTTTCTAAAATTCTTTAAAATTCTTTAAACTTGCAAGATGTCATTACAAAATTTTGTTGATCCACCCATGCAACATTCCTCGGTGATCAAAGATGACATCTCCTTGGTAGTAAAAGATTCCGATGACCATTGGATTGCAGACTTCCTTAATCTCTATGGATGTCATGTCCAAAAATCTTCTTCGGCAGAATCTTCAAAATTCTCTATCGTTACCCCGAAAGTTGTGCGTGACATTATCCGTAATAAAGAATTACATCTTCCTCCAACTTGTCACTCCTTGGCTGATAGAAATGCTTACATCATCCTCCTTTTAAGATTTGTCCTTCGTGATTGTGCCTTCACGGAATTAACTGGTGTACCCCTTGTTCCTGTTAACTGCATTTCTTATTCCGCTTTCGGTACCCAACAATATTATTTGGCTCTCCCTTCGGATTTACAATTCTTTCCAACTGTTGGTTGCTTTGTCTTGATCACCGTAGAATTACCCGATGACGTTAAATCTATTTTTGAATCAGCAGAATTTCAGTCTGTGAACAAGATTAAAAAATTGGATCTCAATGGTTTTTACTGCCTTTTTCGTCATGAACTTCCTCGTGCTCCAATTCGTGACTGGGATCCTGATGCAACTACCTCTTTTCTCAATAAACGTTGGCTTGAAAATTTTTGGGAAAGAATTTCTCAATTTGATGTTCAAGATTTAAAATTGATTGGAAATTATCCTCTCATTCCTATAATTACTTCTACTTATAATAATTATCATATTTATGAACTCATTTCTGTAAAGAATGATCCTCCTATATTGAGATTTCCCAAAAGAAAAGATGATGTAATAGATGTCTTGAGAAAACTTGGTGTTCTTTTCACCGAAGATTATCGGATAGATATTACGAAAAAATTTATTTGGGATTGGAATCCTTCAATGGTCGTTAAGGCTATCGATAAATCTCGGTCTATCAATAAAACTAGTATGGATGCCTTGTTTCAACATATTTGTGACGACGAAAAAGATAAGCTTCGGGAATATATTGTCGCAAATGTGTGCGAGTTGTATCGGAAAGGTATTTTTACTAATTAATTAATTAATTAATTATTACTATCTTATTAATTACAAACTTATTATTATTATTTTTTTATTTAGACCGATTTATCGATGAAAATATTAAAGATATTTTACGTCAATTCCCTATTTGGCCTACTTATTCCGCTGATGGTAGTTACATCGCTGCTTATTGCGGTTGTCTGGTTCCGCACGGTCTTCCATATTTCCAAGTTAATTTGTCAAGTTCAAAGACTAATTATATTAATTATAAGAATCCTGATGAAAAACTTTCATTGAAAAGATTAGATGTTGTCGAATCCAGTTATATTCATTATCTATTTTGTATTTTCAAGAATCTTGACTTTGTTCGACCTGATGACCCTGAATATTTGGAATTTTTAAAAGAATTCTTACGTCTTCCTACTCAATTACATCCAAATTGGTTGTCTGAATATCGTTTCATTCCTAATAGTACTAAATCTGAATTGAGGCTTGCTAAAGAACTTTACGATGATAGAGTTCTTCTGTTCACTACTGTTTTTGCTGGTTCTGATGTATTTATTGCTCCTGAACTTCGTTGTGGTTGGTTATCCAAAGGTCTAGTCGGTTTGGGCTTTCATGATAAAGTTGATGATGACACTTTCATCAGATTGGCTTCTGAAATTCATCATTTATATGATTCTCCTTCTCCTCCTTCCGATTTATTCGATCGTGCTAGAATGTTAGTTCTTCACTTTTATTATAATGTTGATGATCTTAATTTCACTTGTAATAGATGGGATGTTCTCAAATCAATTAATTTTATCCCATCAAAACCTGTGGATTATCCTTATCTTGAAACTGCAAAATTCAAGACTCCTGAACTTTGTTCTTTAAATTCTCTTCGTCTACCTAAACACATGAAATTATGTTGGACTCAATGCGCTTTTTACGATGATCTTGTAATTCCTCCTGAAAGTGTATTGAATATTCATAGTGATCTTGGCGAATTATTCTTTCATGACGTAATGGATCAACTCGTTGCTATTAAGGAAAATATTGTTGACAAGCAATCTGATGAATGGAAAGGACATGGTGCACCTGAACTTCTTTTTACTATTATTAATGGACTTTATGGATGGTTAGAAGATAATTTGCTATTAATGAAACGTATAGGTGAAATTGGTGAACAATGGTTTATTGGGGACCTAAAATCAAGTCTTGAAAAAAATTCTACAATATTTCTTAATGGAAATGACCCTTTCGATTTGAAAAATTGGACTTCTGCAACAAATTTAGTCTTAAACATAGATATCGATGTAGATTGTCACAAGAAAGCTGCAAATAAAAATCTCGCTCCATATGGTAATTTATTACAATTATGTGGAGCCTATAATTTTAATCCGGCAACTCCTATGAATTTCGATGTTCCACATACAACATTACGAAGGGAAAATATTGTTAACAAATTGTGTAGATATGTGGATCTTAATTTTACTCAAAATTCTCCAAATTCTAACCGTTTAATCGCCGGCTTGGAACGATTCCATGATATTTTTTTCAACATCCGTGGTGAATTAATAGGTAC